ACAGCTCAGTCTCTGGCCAGGCCTCCCTCGGTTCCCAGAAGCAAGGCCGTGCCTTTGGGCCAACGTGGTGGCAAGCGGGATGGATTCTACGATTGAAGCCAACTGGGCGTGCAGGGGCATGGAAGAGGAGCGGTGCCTGCAGGCTGATGGGTTCAGCCCATGTCGCAACCATGGGGCAGAGCCCCATCGACTTCCAGCGGCCATGTCCCTCAGCGCCTGCCATGTCAGGGGGTGCATCCCCATCCGCGGCTTCTGGGGGGACAATGCGCCCCACAGCCAAAGCGCTCGGGGATGGACACCCTCTGACAGGGCCCTCTGAGACACCCCGGTGGGTATGTCCCTCTGTGGGGGGACAAGCAGCCAACTCCCCACCACCACCCCACAGCCATCATGTCCCTGGAGGGTCCCCCAGGCCCCTCACCTGCCTCCCTCACCCCGCCTCACACACACCTCCTACCCCCTTCCACTCCCCATTGGCCAGGCCAGCACCTGCAGTGTCCTGATTGGCTCCCGCAGCTGCCCGTCGGGCCCGGGGGTATTTAAAGTGGGCGAGGCCCACCACTCCCTGTCCTGTCAGTGCTGAGGAGCGGAGGTGCAGGTAAGGCAGGGCTGGTGGGGAGGGGTTTATGGGGTTTGTGACTTGTGTTGGGGCTGGGGGGGGTACTCCTCAGGGCTGCCCCTTGCATCCCCAGTGGCTCTGCAGCCCCTCACTTTGGTGGCTCTTCGCAGTGCTCCCAGGGATGGAGAGTGGAGGCTGAGCTCAGAGCTGGCTCCATCCCTGGAGGTCTTGGCTCCAGGCCCTGGGAAGCACTGAGGCTAAAATGTACCTGCTGAGGGGCTGTGTTCCCCCAGCTGTGCCTGGCTTACAGTGCTTTTCCAGTTCCCTGGGAAAGCACAGCGCTGTGTATGGTGTCTCTGCTGCTTGTACCCATCTGTGGGTGGGGGGTGTCTTGGCTTTTTGAGGCTGAAGGTGATGTGGTGTGTGCTGCATCTGCTGTGCAATGGGGAACTACTGAAAGGCTTTCAATCCTTCCCTAAAGGCTTCTTCTTAGCTGTGAGATGACTTCTTGGTGACACTATGGGGCTCTCATCTGTGATCGAGCAGCTTTGGGTCTGAAAGCTCTTTTCTGCTTATCATCTGGTGAAGATCAAAATGGTGTGAGGGGGTCTTTCCCACCCAGCTGTGCAGGGACAGCATGTGATCTGCACCCTGGACATCACACGCTGATTTGCAGTAGTGGTGGGGGAAGCGGTAGGTGCCTCAGGAGGCAGACAGATCAGTTGGGCATTCCCTTCCTGTTGACAGTGCTGCCTGGAGCTGTTTCACATGATTGTTTGGTGGAGGTATGATAATGGAGTTTAACCCAGGGGGGCAGCTTGAGTGACAAGGTAACTTCTCTCTTGCTCAAGAGCAACATGTCTCTGCAGAGGGAGGCTGCAGCCGTGCACGGTTCTGCTGGCTTGTGGAAGGAGCACTTGGCAAACTTGCTTAGTGTTTCTCAAGTCTAACAAGGTTCTTAAACCTGGTCATGACTACCTGACACTGTTTATGGCTGTGAAGGCCTTCAATTACTGAAGCTGGTTCTGCAGAAACTTCCAAATGAAAGTGAGTGCTAAAAAGCAAACAGCACGCTGCTTGCTCGGCAAGTTATAGCTTCTGTCTGAAACAGGAGGTCTGGCCTCATGGAAAAATTGGTAAATGGAAAGTACTGGAAAGCCCAGAAGCTGTTTTACTTTAGGAAAGAGGGGAGGGAGTTTAATCATCTCCAGTATCTCCAAATTCTAGTAGCTCAGAGAGCTTATAGACTTGCTCTCCAAGGAGTTACTGGCTAGTGGCCACTGGCTGTGGTGCTTAATTCCCACTGGAAGTGTGTGTGGGGAAAACCCTGCCTCCATCTGCAAAAGTCAGTTTACTCTTTGAGGCTCCCTGATGCTGATGCCTTTCCAGACAGGTTAGATAGACACCTCTGCCAGCAGTTCTGAAATTACTGTCCTAAGGTCAAAGCTGAAAATTGTCTGATCCTCCTCCTAAAACTACCTCTGCCCCCGGAGCATTGGCAAACACCTCCCTTGGTGTGGGCAATGCCGGGACATCCTGTGACCCACTTCTGCCCACGGCGTTTGTGGTAACCAGGGTATCAGTGGCAAATCTCGAAAAGAATGTAAATAAGTGCTTTAGCCACAAATTAATACTTCTGCCCTGATTAGTCCCCCCCATCTCATATCTAAAGCACTAAATTTAGCTTTGTTTTCCTAAGTGGTCATTAAGGAATTGCCAGTTAAGCTATTGAGCCAGGCATGTGGGCTATGGCTCAACCCGTCTTCCCAAGGTAAAACACAGCTGGAGGGGAGAAAAGCTTCCTGAAAGAGGTCCTGCCCCTCTCTCTCTGCAGGACGACACAACATGGGGCAGAGCTTCTTTCCACAGGAAAAATAAAAACCCCAGGTGGGTTGAAGAACTAGTTTTGTCTGCTGGTCACTGTCAGAGGGATAGAAATCAAGGGAGGTGGCTCACCCAGTAGGAAAGGACTCTTTCTTCTGATGGCAGAAGTGTGTTGCAGTGGCTGTGACAGCCTGACCGAGGCAGGGAGAGCAGATCACAAGAACTGTGCCTCTGATCGAGTTCAGACTTGTGCCAAATTGGGCAATGCTCAGCTGTTAAGCCCTCGTGCCACGCTAGAAATGTGCTCTAAGGAGTTTAAGTCTTTCTGAAACTGCCCGTTTCAAGACCTTTCTCCAGTGGTGACCTAATAGTTTTGATGTAGCAATGGTATGAAATCACCCCATCACTTTCACACCAAGCCAACTGTAACCAAAGCAAAGGGTGATGCTGTTTCTGTTTTTCTGCCCGGTGTTTCCTGTGCGTGGGGTCTGCACTTGCAACTCCTCTGGATGAAGCTGGACCTTTATCCAAAGGCTTCTGAAACGACTGAGGTGGGGTTGCTGGGCACCGTGTTTTCCTGCAATCCCTGAAGCAAAACAAGGCCTGCTCAGCACTTTGTGCAGGGGAGAGACTAGAAAGAGAAAATAAAACCATGCTGTGTGCCCAAGAAGATTTGCCCACACCACAAATCCTGGTGTTGCGACACACCCCGGTTCCTCCTACGCAGAGGAGGGCGAACCATGCTCTAACACAAGTGTGCTGCAAGGATTGTCACTGGCACAGTTGTATCCATAATTAAGATGGGCTCCTAGTGCTTCAGAGGTTGATTATAACTTTATACTAGTTTTTACATCCTGATTTATGCTAGAAGTTAGAGTCCTCCCTTCTTGCTGCAGCGTCTCTCTGTGCTAACCCTGACACAGGGGCCAGGAACACACTCTGCAGTTTGCAGCTTTTCATACCTGTCTAGAAGTAAAATAACTGAGCAAAGGGATTGTTTGTAGTGGTGTTGAAATAGCTGTGCTTTGCCCTGTCACAGGGCTGCTGATGGACTCGGGCTGCTTCAAAAAAAACACAAACCAATGAACTTGCGCTAAAGCAGAGCAAGAGTAAACCCTGTGGACTTTGGGACTGAGACTTTAAGCCCCAAAACCCTGTGGACTTTGGGACTGAGACTTTATGTTTAAGCCCCGCTTTTGTTTGGAACAGTTTTCTAGAAGTTCTCTCAGGCT